TTTACAGAAAATTTCGCCAACTCAGCGGCACACGTGATGGAAAGCCGCCCACTAACATAACGTATTTTCGACAAGCAACTTACCGCTTCTATTTTGACAACTGGGAATAAAATGGTCGAGAAGGCGGATACAAAATTCTTCCAGTGCCAAAACGGCACGAAGCCAAACCGTCATCTGCACGTGATCGTAAGACCAGCGAAACACGTGAAAATCAATCTTGTTCATTTATGTTTGCAATCGCATTACGTAACAGTTGGTGGACGGAGTCGTGGGGTGAATGAATAACAACACCGGAAACACGCAAGAAACAAATGAGTGCATGGAGAGTGTTATTAATTCTCAGAGAAATAAAAGAGAAACATTGCCTGCATTCAAATATCGCAGACTGACGTCATTATTAATTGAAACACACCTGACACAAAGCAATTATTATTGTACTTAGTACGGTGATTCCGTCATCAGTCATGACGTAATCAGTTAAGTTGAACTTATTCAGTGACAAGGATGTTTCTGAAGGGCTGGTTACAAAACTACGGTCTTCCTAAATCTGTGCATATTCGCAAAGAATGTTCTGGTAATAACAGATTTTCGAATCCGACTTCTTAGTCGTAAAAATGGGGTGGAAGTCAGGCGCTTGTAATTGATGTGACGTAAAGCGTGTTAATTTCCACTGTACACAAAAATCAACTCTAGAACGGACAACCATATTTCGACTAATTTTGATACTGGAGCGTTTTAAGGTAAACTATCGAGCCATTTTAATTCGCATTTAGATCGAATAAGTTTAACAACCGCTTTGTATAAGAGTACAAATGTTTTTCTTGAGATAATTTCAATTAATTGAGAAAATAACTTACAAAAATTAATTTTTCAGCTTACTTGGATATACGTAAGAAATAAGTTGCATAAATGGATGTTAGCTGACTGGGATAAACATTCACTATAGCATTAATTAAAATGTAACATTATGGTCAATTATGTCGGAATGAGTTTATTAAATTGTCGTCCTGTATTTCATGACAACTTATCTTTCCCTCCACGAGACTCCTCAATTAACATGTATCAGTCATAATAACTGTAGAAAATTGCTTTAGGAGGGATATCGTTGAAACGTAATATCCTGAGGCCAAAAATACCTACAAATAAAGGAAAGGAAATAGTTATTAGAGTATGTAATAACTGGTAACATCACACAAAAATGTGGTCGACAAAATGCAAACATCAGAACAGCAACATATTACAACATCATCCAATTTCATACTCTAGCACTCTACCTAAATTCAAACAATGGTTTAGCGTCTGATAATTGGTTCCTTAACTGCGTGATCATTTCCTTTCGCAAGCAAAGGAGATGTAATGCACGATTGTCTTTTCCTTCAGGTCGCAGCAAGGTCAGCTGTCGTGTGACAATCATAGCGAAGTCGTCATGAATTATTAACGCTCAGATAAATAATGAATAACAGATAATTGCATCATCATTGTGGCAGTAAATGTGAGAAAGTAACTGTAGATATTTGCTCATGGGCTGGCACGAAAATTTTTATTAATTTTAAAATTTAACACCTCACGCGTGCAGCACTGTACTATGACCTAATTTGTTTTACATCTGCTTAGTAAATGCTACATCTACATATATAAAAACTGCATCTATTGTGTGAAACTCTTTACTTATTAAATTAAACAACGTTTCCTTGTGTTTGACATAGACCGAACTGCCTTTACTAGGTGACCAGCCAAGTATTGTTCAAGAGATTAAGTCCCTAACTTGAGACCAAAAAGTGCGATACTGTGGTGACATGATTGTGGAACAATGACGGAATAATGATTAACAAGGAGGACCGCTGAGGGAGGACTTGGAGAAAATTCTACTCCAGTGTCTTCGCTAAGTAATAACCTAACCTAACCTAACCTAACATGACCTAACCTGACCTAACCTAACCTGCAGTCGCCCTGGATTCAACCCATTTTACGACAATAAATTTGTTTCCACAACTTAATGGCTATTTATTATTACAATAAAACAGCATGTAAGAGGAAACGTTTTGTTAACATTAGGGGCGTGAGGCCTGTAAAGAGTGAAAGCCATATCAAATTTGAAAACGTTGTACTTTAATTTTAATTTACATAAACAGGTGCAGAAATTAAAATCTGTTGAGCTACCCTCGAATTGTTTCATGCGCACGAAATGACACTCCGACAGAGTGATTTTAAAAAGCGGTTCGCTGGGATTCAAATGTGCCTAAAATAGTCGACAAAAGCGTTCAAGATATTGAAAACGAAAGAGTAGATATAGGCTACAATGTGCTCACAATCTTACACTTAAACTGTTGAAAGAAACCCTTAAATAAAACAATGCAACACAATTTTTTGTAAATGTGCACC